GCATCCCCGGGTTGGGGGGGGAAGGATGTGGAGCATCCCTGGTGTCGGGGGGCTGGCACCACCCACCTCCGCCATCTCAATTTTGCCGTCTGCGTTTTTGTCGTACTTGTGCATGAACTCCTTCATCTTGTCGCCCAAGTTGTCCTTCTTGGAGTCCTGCCGGCAGCGAGAGGGGATGGGAGCATGTGTGTCCCCCCCTGCTTCCCCATCCCGGTGTCCCCTTCTCTTCCCTCCCGGAGGTGCCATTCCCAAGGGAGACGGACGGGAGCCCAAACCCTCGGGCAGGAGGGATGGGGAGAAGGATGGAGCCCAACCAGGAGAAGCCCTTACCACTCCCGCCCCCTTCCTCGCGCTTTCCAGCTCCTGCAAGAAGTTTTCCAGCTCTTTGCCTTCGATGTAGCCATTTCCTGGGGAAGGAAAAATTGCAATAAGACCCCCCCTTGCTCCCCAGTGTCAGAGGGTGGGATGCTCCCAGGGACTGCAGTGCTTGTCGTCCACCCCCCCAGCACATGGACACAGCTCCGAGGTGAACGTGGCAGCAAAAAAAAATTAAAAATGCCACTGAATGTTACACAAATCTGAATTTTCAGGGCGCTGAGCCCCCTGTGCTGCAGCCTGGGGGGGGGGACGGGGGGGACGGGGACACATAGCCCCAGGCTTGTCCCCTGCACCCGCTTGTAGAGCACAGGGGGCTTTGTCCCCTTCCCCGTCGCAGGGGGGTTTGTCCCCATCCCGCTGTTTGCTGCATTTTCTGCATCTGATGCTGTAACCGGGTGGTTTAATTAAACCTCTCTGTGCCGAGCACCCCCCCCCAGCCAGGACTGACACCGCTGGGGGATGGAGGGGGGGGCAGCCAGGGCAAGTGGGGGGCAGCAAGAAGGCACAGCATTGCCCCCCACACCCCCCCACCCCGGGTGCGGGATCAGCCCCCCCCAGGCAGGGAGGCTGGTCTTCGAGGTGGCCCCAGGGCTTAGAAATGTCCCTCTCCCTTGTGTGTCCCCCCCCCAGGCTGCAACACGGGGGACTCAGCGCCCTGAAAATTCAGATTTGTGTAACATTCAGTGGCATTTTTCATTTTTTTTATCCTGGGATCACCACGGCTCTTCCCTGCCGTGGGGGGGACACACACTCTTCCCTGGGGGGGGACACACACCGCAGTGAGGACACCGGCTCTGCAGCGCTGCCACCCCCCTCCCACCAACATCTGGGCACAGCTGGGGGATGGATGCAGCCCCCCAGGGCTCTTCCTTGTGGGCATCCCCCCCACCAAGTCCTTCCGTCTGTCCCCCCCCTCCCTAATTTGAGCCCCTGGAGGCTCGGAGCGCGGTGGCCTGCTCTGTGCCACCACCGGCATCGTCACCCACGGGCTCTGGAGCAGCACCTCCTCCTCGCTGGGAATATCCCATCCATCCGCATCCCGCCTGGAAGCGCCCCAGGGAAGTCCCAGGGCCCTTTCCTTGCTGACAGGGGTCACATTCCGAAGCAGGAGCAGCATCCCTACCCCCACCCCCCCCCAAACATGAGGGGCCAGGGTGATGTCGGGGTGGGAGCCACCGAGGGACGTGGTTTTCCACTCCCCTTCCCAGGGCCTTGGCTTTGGGCGCGGGAGGAAGAGCCACAAGCTCCTCTGAATTCCGTTGGAAAAAGAAAAAAATTAAAATAAAAATAAATCAGCAAGAGTTTTGAGCTGGGAAAAGGAATAATTTTTCCCGGCAGCTTGGCTTTCCCCCAGCAGCAGCTTCGGATGGGGCTGATCCGGGTCTGCCGGGTGCGGAGCAGCGTGGAAAATCCCCTCCGGAGAACCAGGGCTGGTCCGTGGGGCTGCACCTCGGAGCCTCCCTGCGCCACAGGGCCAGGGGACAGCCCAAAGTGGCAATCCAGGACACCCCAGGGGACATCTCCGGGGCCTGAGGAGCCTTAAGGGGAAGCGGGTGAAAGCCCCATCGTGTTGAGGGGGTTGAAGAGCTTGGGTGAGATGGCCCCATCCTGGTCCCTCCATCACCCTGCGCCCATCTGCAGGAGGAGGTGGCTCTGGGGGCTGTTGGAGGTGCCACCCGCCGCGGCAGAGCACAGTCCTCGTCAAGGCCACCATCTCCCCTGCTGCCCCAGTCCCTCCTCTGGCTGGGCAACCGTTCTGCCGCAGCCATATGCCCCCTCCCGGGGGTGGGGAATGTGGGCCAAGCTGGATGGGCGCCCACCTCGAGGTTCAGGAGATGACGGAGCACATCCACGGGCGCAGTGGGACGTGCCGCAGGGGAGGTGGCTGGACACCAGGAGATGCCACCCTCCCATCGTCCCCGACCCCTCGGCAGCTCCAGTGCCAGCTCCAGGGGTGACAGGGACAGCCGTTCCTGTGTCCCCCCCCACCAGGTGCAGCAGGAAGGGACCCAACAGCCCCCCCAGCTCCATCTGCGCAGCCGGGGGACGCTGTGTGATGCAGCTCCCAGAAGGTTTTTGGTCCCCAAACCTCCCCTTGAGGGACAGGAGACCCGGGGAAGGACAAGAGCTTTGCTGCCCCTCCATCACCACCCCACTGCGCTCAAAGAAAACTATTTTTCCCACCAAAACGATGCTGCTTTTTGTATTGTGTGTGTCCCCCCCACACACACACACTTTTTGGGATGCCCAGCTGTGACTCTGTGGGGAGGTGACATCCCCGTTGGTGCCACGGCATCCCTTGAGGAGAGGTTTTGCAGGGCTGGGGAGCAGGTGGGGAGGGACAGAGGGCTCCAGCCATGGCGGGGGGCCATTCTTCTGGGCCAAGGGACACCCCCTTCTGTCACACCCCCACCTCCAGGACAAAGGGGTGGCCCCAGGGGCCAGGCTGGTGGCCACCAAGACGGTGTCAAGGAGGCAGGGTGGGAGAGAGGGGGCTGATGGTGGCCACTGGGCAAGGGTTTCCCGAGAGCCCCCTTCGGGCAGGACCCCCCCTTCCCCCCCCACCAGCACCCAGGGTGACCAGCCCTGGGTGACCCTCGGGGGACGCACGAAAGACACCCGGGGCTAAACATCCCACGGGCTG